CCTCTCTCCTAATTGAATGAGATGCTTAAGGGTATTCCAACACGGCACTTTATTGTTTTGAACAACCAATTCTCAACAATTCTGTCCATTTCCAGGTAATAGATAACTCCGGCAGCTCAGCTAGTTTTTGGTTTTATTGCTGTATTTTTAACTTTTTGAGAAAGCTAGATCCTTTTCTAGGAAAAAAATATCAGTAACTTTTTAGGAGGATTAGTAATGGGATGAAAAATGTGTGAATAATAATGAGTAGTAGTTTTGATGTTGTGTTTGAAATTAAAGTTTGCATCCAGTAGCAGCAACTTTTAATTTATTAAAAGTGACTCCTAAAAAATTACCCAATAAAAATGGCTCGGTTACAATTTCATTTGAAATTGCAGCAATTGAACTTATCAAGCACAAAAAAGTACAAGGGATTGTAGCAGCATTGACATTGGAAGAAGCAAGTCTTGTTACAGAATTAGAAGCGGTGGCCAACACCCCCATAATCACAATTGGTTCAGCAGCCATTTCTCCATCACCATTAGTTCCTCAACCACAGTCCCCTTTTCTGCTGAATACTGATATCGTAATTCAAATGAAATTTGCTGCTGCAATAATAGGACATTTTAGATGGCAAAAAGTCACGGTCATATATGAACAAAGCGATAGCTTTTATGCCGATTCCAGACTCAGAAAACAACTTTCTAAGTCCCTGAAACAGCATAATTCTTTTGTTGAATGCGATCTTGCATTTCCTTCCTTATCTTCTCTTCCAGAACCTGAGGCCATTATTGAAGGAAAGTTGAATAATCTGAGAAGCAAAAGCAGTGAGATTTTTGTACTTTTGCATTCTTCATTGGAGTTTGCTACAGTTCTTTTTGAGAAGGCCAAAAAAATGGGAATCATGGAAAAAGGTTTTGTTTGGATTGCGAAAGATGATTTTGTTAACCTAATTGAATATGTGGAGCCGTCTTTCATCCAAAACATGAAAGGGGTCATTGGATTTAAGATGAATTATGAGGAAAAAACCAAGCCTTTCTGGGACTTCAGTTTCAAGTTTCGAAGAAAGTTCAGATCAGCATATCCTAAAGAAGAACATCCATATCCAAGCATGTATGCTCTTCAAGCATATGATGCTACATTGGCCATTGTAAAAGCTATGGAACATTCTGAAGGGGAAATGAACTCAAGTGAACTTATAAATCGTCTCTCTTCAAGTGATTTTGAAGGTCTTAGCGGGAAAATCAGCTTCAAGAATGGAAAATCAGTGCAAAAAAGTACCTTTCAGATAATTAGCGTGAACGGGAAAATTTATATAGGAGTGCAAACAGTTCCCAAGGAAAGGAAACTAAAAATTGGAGTTCCTGTACAGTCTGCTGTCAAGGAGTTTGTCAGCTTCCGGTATGATCAAGAAGAGAAGACAACGTCCTTTGGCGGATTTTCCGTTGAAGTTTTTGAAGCCGCAGTTAAACTGCTTCCATATCATTTTCCTTATGAGTTTGTTCCATTTAATGGCACTTACGATGAGATGTTGATTGCAGTTTATAATAAAGTAAGGGTTGTTAAACCTTTTCGCTTTGCTAGATAAATTTCTCCTTACTTCTTTTTTGCTAGGTTCTTATGATACATAACTCCATTTTTTTTTTCTTTAATTAGAGTTTGGATGCAGCTGTTGCAGACATGACCATATTGGATGATAGATATGATTATGGTGACTTTTCACAGCCTTATATGGACTCTCAAATTGTTATGGTGGTACCTGCAAAAAAAGATTTGAAAAGGCAAAGATTCATTGCTTTGACGGCCTTTGAATGGAAATTGTGGTTGGTAATGGTAGCATCAAGCTTATTCACTGGAGCCATTATCTATTTAAATGAGCATGTGAATGACAATCCAGAGTTTGGAAATTCATTTCCTCAGATAATTGGTTCTATGATTTGGTTTGCTGTCACTCTTCTCTCATTTGCACAAAGTAAGTCTCAATTAACAATAAAAAAATTGATATTTGAATGAGAAAATATTCTCTCTTTATGTTACTAAGATTGCTAATCTTGTGTGCGCAGGGGAATCTATCAAAAATAATCTGTCACGATTGGTTCTTGCAGTATGGTTGTTTGTGATTATGATTGTGACAGCATCTTATACTGCTGTTCTAAGTTCTATGATGACAGTGCCTCGGCTCCAACCATCAATAGTAGATGTTGATTATCTTCAGCAAACTAATGCAATTGTTGGATGCAATGGGGTGAATTTCATCCCAAGATATTTGACACATACTCTGAAATTCAAGGAAGAGAACATCAAGAAAATTGGTTCTCTCAGTGACTACAAGGAAGCTTTTGAACAGGGGAAGATTGCGGCTGCCTTCTTTATCAGTCCACATGCCAAACTTTTCCTTGCAAATAATAGCAAACGCTTTGTCATTGCGCAATTTAGCCATCAACTTGGTGGTCTTGCTTTTGTAAGATTCAAATCCAAGTTAAATTAATATGCACTCTCAAGGTGGAGGTGAAAACCAGGCTGTTTAAGGCCAAAACAGCCTATATCTCAACAGTTTTACGTACCACAACTATTGGCTTTTCACTTTCACGTTAATTATACACGTTTTATGGCCTATTCGCTGGCTGCAAGCCATGGCCCCTCAGCACCTAGAGCACGGCTCGTGCCACATGCCTTAGTTACAAAATTTGACCTCTCTACTCTTTGAATTGTATTTTAAACCCTTTATTTTCACATGCAATATTTTGGTTTTCTTGTAGGTATTCCCAAAGGGCTCTCGTTTTACTGCAGATATATCAAGAGCAATTCTAAATATGAAACAGACAGGAGGGATAAATTACCTGGAAGAGCGTTTCCTTTCCTTCTCGAATAGCTCTTCATCTGATCAACAAATCGATGATTTAGGTCTACACCTTTCACAATTTTCAGGTCCATTAGTTGTTTCAAGTGTGATTACTACAATTCTATCGTTGATCATAGTTGTTCGTGTAATTCATAAACGATGGTCGATTCATGACTACATACAATCTTCGCTGATGTCTAGAAGGATTTCCAGATGGGCATCATTTCTTTTAGTTGAATTCCATGTGAGAGGATTCTTCGGGGCACCCTTTATTCAGAGACAGAATAACTTAACCAATATTGCCAGCGAAAACTGAGGCTTGGAGGGGCTACTTTGGCATCTAATCATATTTAATTTGTATACTAATGTTTTCCATTTATACGAATAAATCTGAAGGCTTTTTTGAACAGATTGTCCTCTTCCTCCTCAGGCTTCAATCTTCATAGTTCCCACATGCATTAATTTATAGGGAAATTGATTTCTTGAATCAACTAATTGAGGCTGATTTCAAAACATGTTACAATGTCGTGTTTCTTATAGCATAATTCGATCCTGCTTGTCATGTACCTTGCGCAATCGCCAATCGGGTTTAGATAAATGATGGATTGGTTAACCTAAATGGAACAATATTGTATAGTAAAATCAAGTGT